CCCTTCTCCACCCGCGCGTTTCGCATCGAATTAGCCCTGTGCAAATGCCGGGCTATGCCCGGGGTCTATAAATCACCGCCCGCCTCGAGTACTTTCCATTCCGCGATATTATAACTGATTTATTAAGGAGAGGGGGAACTTCCAGAGTTAACATTCTTTGTTTTGTATTTACTGTGATTTAAAACACGGAGGGTTTTCCCCCTGCAGCAATATCTTGTCAGCTTTGTAATTCATCTACCACCACTTCGGGGGCAGGGAGAAGGAAAGAAAGAAAGTTACACTTCCTAACAAGAAATCAAAGCCTCCCGAAGAACAGACAAACGCTGCTGGATGGTGATTTTTAAATGAGTGTCAACCAGATAGTGTCTAAAGACATGGAAATGAGAATGGGAATATATCAGCAACAGCCTTCCACGCACTAGTGCAATAAAATGGAACAGAAAAATGGTATAAGCATCGCCTATTTATATATTTATTTTATAAAAAAAAATCATTAAATAGCAACTTTGATTCTGCCTTTGCTGCTTGCAATTTCTCCTACAGCATTAAGAAGTTGCTCTAATTGTGAGACTCCGGGTCTCTGCAGAGGAGCAGGAAGGAGAGAAACAAAAACCACACACACAAAAAAGACAAGGTTTAATTAGACGAAACCAACTTTGCTTGTGCCTCATCCAGGCTTTGGTCAGTGATGGTCATGATCTGATGGAGGATGTCCCCGATGTCCTGCTTTCTGCCGTCGCCGTCTGCCCCTTCGTGTCCGTGGGGAGGAGGCAGAGCCATGCCCCCCTGCACCGAGTGGCCAGCCAGGTTCACGCCGGCCAGAGTCTGCAACATCCTGGACTGATCATCCATACCTCCTACCGCAGCCCGATCAATGCACTTTCAGACAGCAGCCGGAGAAACGGCAAAGGGGGAGAGCAGGAGCTTCGCCGTCGGAGGAAGGAGGTTTATGCTTCGAAAAGAAAATGCGAATAAATCTCTGGTTCTTGTAGTCAATTCAGTTCCTGACTGGGTATTTTGTTCTTATACACACACACGCAAAAAAAAAAAAAGAAAAAAAAAGAAAAACAACAACAACAACAAAAAATCAGTATTTGTGTGACCGGATCTCAGTTGTTTATTCCACTCTGTTCTCCTTTCCAGTGCAGTAAATCACTCTCTTCTTTAGTTACAGTCTTCTTTCATCATCATAATATTTGTGGCTTGGATAAATGAGTTGATAAGGTTTCTTTGCAGTTTTCTTTCCCTGGTACAATCTTCCTCGAAAGCTTTTTTTTTCCTTTTTTATTTTTATTGTTGCTTTTTATGTCTTTCCCCACTTGTCCAAAAATCTTCTTTGCAAAAAGACAAAATTAAAAAAATAGAAAATCAAAAAACTTGCTTTCAAATCCTTAAGAAGTTAGGAGGGTGGCAAAGAGCAAAAACCACAACAAACCAAGCGAACACCCCCACCCCCAAATTGCAACATAAAAAAAGCCAAGAAAACACAATCACAGAGGGAAAAAAAAATTAATTGCCCTCCCCCCCCAAAAATAACAAATGATCCCAAGTCTGTGCAACGGGGGTAAAATAGCAGCAATCAAAAGTTTGAACTTGTGCAAAGAAAAGAGCGGAAATAAAGGGGAAAGAACTGTAAAAAAATTAATTACACACTCTCTGCAAAGCAATGTGCAAAAATATCAGCCAGCTGGAATTTATGAGCCCAGCAGCCCAGTGACTGTGTGTGTTTTATGTTGTTTGATGGCCGCTTTGGTGAGGGATTGACAGTCTGCCAATGCCACTCACTCACCCTGCAGACGTGTCACCCTGTGAAGGAGGCGAGCGGCAGCGCGCGAGAGGGACGCGGGCGCCC